TTCAATTAAATTTTGCAATTTTGATAAAATTTTTTAAAATTAACTTTTTCTTCACAAAAATTGAAAATGCATTCGAAACTTTCCTCTGTAATAAATTTAAGATGTATCTTTTTTGTAATTAATGTAATCTTTTTTTCTATATTTTAAAGTCGTATTTCAAATATTTTGAAAACTATTATATTTTTTTAATGTAGTAAAATTTTTTATTACCATTTTTTGCGTTTTAAGAAATACAGCTAATTGTAAAAAGAATTAAATATAAATCTTCTGTCTCAAAGATACGGTATATTACACAGCTTATTACTTATTATCTAACAGTATTTCTCTAATAGCCAATTTCTCAATTCATAATGCAAGAAAAAAAGGGAGGGGAAAATATAAATATACGATTTAATATCTAAAGATGAAAATATCGATTGAACGAGATTTTCATAATTTTAATTTTATTTTAAGTTTTTTTTAATCTTACAATTTTACAATCTTATCAATTATATTAATGATTAATTGAATAAATATCAAATATATATATATATAAAATATCAAATTTATAAGACAATATATTTTTATTTTATCTCGGAATGATTGACTAGTTTAATCTCTCTAAATTATCGTTTTCGCAAATCATTTTCGTGGAAAGATGCTTTTATCAATATCATGCACAGATTCAATAGATAAGCATATTATAAATGTCTAATCTCTTATCAGAATGTTAACTAGATCATTAAAATATTTATCAATGTAATATTTCCAGGAATGTTTCTATAATTGCTATATAATGTTTATATAAGTAACAACTCATAATGGTAACTACAATAGCACTGTTATTATTAATTTAACACTTTCAGGAATGTTTTTATAGTTTCTGTATAATGTTTATACAATTAATAATTCTAAATTGAATAGATGATAAAAAAAATTAGATTTATTTCGCACGGATTCTTATTTTTCTTTCGAATATTCTGTTTTCATTTTCAGGTTTCAGTACATTTGGTATAGGTTTATTAAGCTCTGGCGCCATACTCTCCACCTTGACGTTGTATTTCGCACTGGACGCTTGCTACAATATTTTCCATCAAAAGGAAACATGGTCCTACAAGAATAACAGTATTACGATACTTTTGTTGTATCCTATAGCGAGTATCTGCACTCTTACGGCTCTTGGAATACCAAGGTAAATCAGTTCATTTATTCACTCTGATGGGAAAATCTATATAAAACGATCTTCGACACATCAAAATTAAAAACTTTAGAAGAAAAATTCAATAAGTCTATTTTTTTTGAATTCTCTATATTATAGCTAGAACAGAATATTTTAATATTTCAATATTAAGAAGGTAAAAGATTCAGCAGGTTTCAAGAAATAATTCGACGAATTTAAATTAAATTTGAAACCTTGACCTCTACTGAAAATAAAGGAACGTGACTCGTCAAATTCTTCTGTCGATCGAAAGATAGAAATTGAGAGAAAAATAAAACAACACAATAGTATTGCGTCCCTTAACTCAAAATGCATCAAATTTTGTTCGAATCGATGATGAAGTAAACCAGAAAATCCACTTAAGGAAATCGAGGGGAAAAAAGAAATCCGATAAAATATCGCACAACGAAACAAAGGCTCGGTTTGAGATACTTTTTTAACGATCATAAAATAGAAGAGCAACCTCGTCCCTAATAATCTTGATTTTCCAAAGATAATCCCTATTCCAATGTGTCACACCTGCACTGGACCAAAATTTGATGGGTCCTCTCGATAATCCGAACAAGGTTGAGACAACGACACGAAAATTCCATCGCGAGAAAGGTCCATTGATATTTTCAACTCGTGTCCCGAACTCATTTTTCATTTCGAGGGAGGAGAAAATCTAAATTTTCAATTCGACCATTCTCTTCGTATACTATTCACGTACAAACCGAATTTGAAATTATTCCCAAAGGCTATTTTATATTTTGATTAAGATTTTTCCATCGTTTCCAGGACCCAATTACTGTCGGAAGCCGTGATCCAAATATATCTGGCGATAGCCCTGTTTCGACTGTATCTGCTGTTGGTCTACGTGGGTTTCAAAAAGGTCACGAAGACGCCGGCATTAATGCTGCGAGCGATGCCCTGTTGCTGTTGGCCCTGCCTCCACTTTCCAAGTCTTGAAATGACCGATAGTAATTTGTCCTGGCTCCGACTGTTAGTCCTGCAACTTCCTATTATCCAGGTTATTTCTTCTTTTCTGCCTTTATCTTTTTGTCTCTTTTCTTGGCA